AGGCTTTCCGTACCTGCCTTAATGAAGTGTACAGAAACACATGGACTGCAATTCTAATCCTAACGCTGTTAACTGCAAAACATACAGTCACAGGTAACACTGTGTTTCTTCTGAATTCTCTGCAACTGCTGCAAGTGAGAAGTTTGGTTAAGTGTGCATGCTTTAGGATTTTGTGACAGATTTTCTGTTAACAGACAGCAAACAGCAGTATTGAGAGCTCTATGGTTTTCTTCTCAGAGCAATGCACTTCCTGACCTATGAAATTTCCATTTCAAATGTTCAGATCTTAAAAAAGCAGTGGTACAGTTCCCCCTGTTTTTCAGTTTGGGATACGCTTGTTCACCTGATAGGCTGTTGTTACAGATGTTTGGAACTTATGAATTCTGCGGTATTCTGCTTATGAATACCACCTCCGGGTGTCCCTCATTCCTTACAGAGACTGTAACGGCTATACCTGCCAGTCGAACACCTTCAAAACCACAGCTTTTTCCTCAAAGTACCAATAACTTCATTCTTTTTCGTATTTTTTCATGTTGGAGGGCAGAGCACACTTGCTGTGCTTCTGAGCAGCACAGGCTGTCCGACGCCTCAGGGATGCCTGAGCCCTTTTAGACACAAGGTCACTGATACCCTTGGGACTTTCACACGTACCAATAGCACAGAAAAATGAAAAAATGAGAGTTCCTACCACTTGTTGTTACATGTTTCTGTAGACTACATATGGCCAACTCTCCATGGACCAAAGGACCACTAGCCAGCTGTTTGGGAATGACTGCAGTGGAGCAGTCTCAGCCTTTTGCAACCTTCATGTTCCCCACGCTGCTTCATGTTCACCACATGACCTGGGGCAGGTCTGCGTGTGGGGAGAACGGGCTGGTCCTGCACAACACTGCAGATGCTCTAGTTTATACGGAGATGGCATATTCAGTAGACCTTCTCCACCTTATTCCACTGGTGTATGATTTCTATGGAAAGGCACAGGAATGGAAGAGCTGCACAGGGGCAATAGAGCTCTGCAATGCCATCGTTTCCCACCCGTCTCAATATGCAACTGCACTGGGGCAGAAGGTTGGTGACCCAAGCCCAGTTGTCCAGTTTGAGCAAAACCAACTTGCCTTGAATATTTCCACCTTTACTGTCCAAACAGATTTTGGAATTAGCTCTAACAGAGTGTCATTATTTTCACTCCTCTTTCCTGCCCACCCCCCAGCATAACAATTCATTTTGCATTTTAACAAAAAGAAACGAGCAATTTCCACATTAGGAAAAACTGAAAAAGATTATAAGTATATATCATTACAATGACATTATGCATGAGTCCTAAATGAATGGGACATTTTAAAATTCTTTTATCAGGGTTTGTAACTATAACACTGATGTCACATTTTGGCTGTAACAGCATGAATGATCTTGACACAGTAAGTTCTCAGTCAGTGACACATGAACCTTGATATTATCTGACCTGCTACTTATTCACAGCGAGATACGGCATCTTCCTTTCATGATTACATATCATAAGTGTCACGGCCACATAGAAGTCATACAAATAAAACAGCTCTGAAGACTGGATTTTGCCCAAGCCACCACCATTCATATCATGCATCCTCTTTTAGTCCCTGCCAACAGAAACACATGACTATTTACAGTGGGGGAGGGAGAACGGCTTCCTGCTGGGCCATATATTCCTGTGGTGCTGTCATCTGTCTTCAAGCTGCTAAACCAATTCACACTCACTCTTGTCTCTTCCCTCAGTCAGCAGCTGCACAGAAAGCCCATTTCAGCACGTCAGTTAGTAACAGCCCTTTGAAAACTAGTCCCTGCTTTCCTGAAATGTAAATGTTTCCTTTCAAAAAGCGTGAAGGCGACCATCAGTGGACAGACCAATGCAGAGACATCCTACTATGCCTGAATCAGCTGAAATGAAACATTTGCACAGCATTTTATAATCAAAGAAATGTAATTCTTTGACAGTCAATTTTATGAAAGTGAATTAATTAGGTTACATTAGAACAAGAAATTAGAACAAGAAAGTTCAGTCAATTTGAAAGCAGCTTCCGAATTTCGGTATCATACTACTAACATCTGAGTATAACTCTCAGGAAAGATAAGTGTCCACAACTGCAAGTGAACAAATGCAGTTGTCCAAACTGCAAATGAAATGCAAATCAGGCCAAACATATCCAGGCACTGCTATCAGAATAGATGTAGTCATTTTCCATCATTTACACAATAAATGCTCAAAAGGACCATCCTATGGTCCTATAGCACACAGAACATAGGCATCCTCAATTCTTTTTCCTGTGTCTTATCTTCAGAAGTATCCTATTTCTATTTCAGGGATTCCTTCCAGGTCTGTAAGAATCCAGCTGAAGCGAGATCTAATCCAATCCTCCTACTGCAGCAACAACCCTAGAATCAAGGTGGCTTAATAAAAATATTTCACTGTTAACTCTCTAAACACACATTTTGACTGTATATTCAAGAGCTGAAGGATATAATTGGTGATGTTTACTTCTAGCAAGACATGAACTTTAGCAAACAGAAACTTATCATCATGTTTGGCCTCACATACTCTTTTTTGCAGGTAAATTACAGGAAAGGGAATAAGTGAATTAGTGACCAAATTTGCAACTTCCCGAGTCTCTGATACATAGACTTTTTCTATAAAAAAAGAAAGGAAAAAATACCTGTCAGGCTTTTTTCCTCTGAGAACTGTAGAACCATAAACCCCTCTAAATTATTGAAATATTTTACTTCGTAAGAAAATTGTAAGAATCTAGTAAGCAATTTTCCATCATTATAATGTTACATTTCTTTTTCCTTTCCAGTCTGTGTTTGTTATGCATATCAGGTCATTACGTAAGATAAAAAGATTATATAGATATCAAGGCCGTGACACAAGTGGTCTGCAGGTGTTTGAAAGGACAAAATCTAAACAATTTTCTATTCCGTGTGAAAGGAATTTTTCAGCCTCTTTTTCTGGATAGAGAAGCATGTTATTCTCAAATATTATTTGTTGTGTCCAATTACTGAAATTTAAATGTACTATAATTAAATCAATACTAAAATTACTTTAATTATTTTTATTATCGGTAGCAGCTTTATCATGTAATGCATGGAACCAGAAGTATATGACATATTTCATACAAGACAAAGGTCTGTGCCCTTGTGGTACCAACAAATGGAATGAGCACAGCGGTGAGTGTGTGTGTGATCAACAGTGAATATCCAACTGGACTGGCTGGGAAATAGGTGAAATGACCTGGAAGCCAAGGGAATACATATATGTGTGTGTGTGTGTGTATACACATGTGTTTTTGCATGGGTGGCTGTGAGTGAGCAGGTCTGCTTGAGAAAGCGCAATGGGGTTGTGAGCCTCAGGGGGCTGAAGATCCGGGTGCCAGTAACTGGAGAAACCAGCAGCAGGGGTATCTACTGGTTAGGCTGTGTGTCAGCTCAGCCCCTGCAGGGACGCACATTGTATAAGTGTATATAACACGGAATTACAGAATCTTCATGGACCTTTGAGATCATCGAGTCCAACCACACACACACAAAAAAAACCACCCCAACAATCTCAGGCACTAGAGCATGCCCTGAAGTGCCACCTCTACACACTTCTTAACTACCTCCAGGGATGTTGACTCCACCACCTCCCTGGGCAGGCTGTTCCAGTGCCTGACCACCCTCTCAGGAAAGTCATTCTTCCTAAGATCTAATCTAAACCTCCCCTGCCACAACTTCAGACCATTCCCTCTGCTCCTGTCATTATTCCCTTGGGAGAAGAGGCCAACCACCACCTCTCTACACCCTCCTTTCAGGGAGTTGCAGAGGGCAATGAGGTCTCCCCTCAGTCTCCTCTTCTCCAAATTAAACATGCCCAGTTCCCTCAGCCTCTCCTCGTAGGACTTGTTCTCCAGACCCCTCCCCAGCTTGGTGGCTCTCCTCTGGACACGCTCCAGCACTTGTATTTCCCAGTACCAGACCATCATCATGATCAGCCAGAGAGGGTAATGGGATGAGGCTGTTGGTGCTGTTTGTGTTTGTGGGAGTGCTGAGTGTGTCCCTCTGTGCTGACGTGTATGTGTTGTATGTGTGCCTACTGGGAACGCACGCTCAGCCCTGATACCAGTGGGACCTCATGGCAAGGAGCTGTGGCAGCCTCACATCTATCTGGCTGCTGGGTGCATCCCCACACCCTTACTTTTCTGAAAGCAGGGTCCTGTATTATTATACAGGACAGAATACATGTATCTGTGTGTGTGTGTGTGTGTGTGTACACACATTTCCCAGTACCAGACCATCATCATGATCAGCCAGAGAGGGTAATGGGATGAGGCTGTTGGTGCTGTTTGTGTTTGTGGGAGTGCTGAGTGTGTCCCTCTGTGCTGACGTGTATGTGTTGTATGTGTGCCTACTGGGAACGCACGCTCAGCCCTGCTACCAGTGGGACCTCATGGCAAGGAGCTGTGGCAGCCTCACATCTATCTGGCTGCTGGGTGCATCCCCACACCCTTACTTTTCTGAAAGCAGGGTCCTGTATTATTATACAGGACAGAATACATGTATCTGTGTGTGTGTGTGTGTGTGTGTACACACGTGTTTTTCCATGGGTTCCTGTGACAATAGAATATTTAGAATATTTTAAAAAACATTAATTAGTTTTGCACGCTTTTACTGAAAAATATTTTTCACTACAAATCATAAGTGAATTCTTTTGCTTTAATCAGCCTATGCTATCAATACACAGAGTAAAAAACCAATAGTTTTGTTAGTATTTAGTGGGAAACAAGATGTTTTAAATACACTTATTTTCTTTATATTTATAAAATTCCCTTTTCCCTGCTTCATAGTTCATATAGGAAATACAGAGGCAATCTAAAGAGATGGATTTGGCTCTTTTGTAATGAAAGTAGAAAATGTTTACATTGCAATAAACTAACATCTGCAATATTTCTTAGTGATTTTCTTTCACCTGTTTTTGTTTTACATGTACTTACGCTCAAGGCAGTTGGTCCTGGAGGTCCTGCATCTCCCTAGTTAAAGACAGGAGAGTAAATAAATCAGAAATCTCTTTAGTTACACATTTTTAACCTCTAGGCATTTTAGAGGATATGCACCACTGCAGAAGTAAATTCAGCATAATCATCAAACATGCTCCGATTATGAAAATGTATGAGCAAAGCAATATTCTTTTTCAGTAATGGCATAGACGTACACAGTTCACCATAGGTTAAATGGGAAAAAATGGCAGGCCTCTGCATCAATGAACCACAGCTTAAAAAAAGCAATCCTTCAGAACACATTTGCATATGTTAAATTACAAGCTGCAGCTTCCATGCATGAGGTGGCCACCGAAGTCAGTGTGACAGCTCACATACGTAAAGACATCTGATGGTGTAAAACGTTCACAGAACGAGGCTGCTGAGGTACGAATCGTGCTGCGAGACCTTCAGGTTCAGTCCAGGGCAGCAAAGCAGAGCACCCAGAGAGCAATTCAGAACATCCAATTTAGGCTCCTGCTCTGAACTCCTTTCAAAATTTGTCATGATAAAGAGCACTTGTCTTCCATATTTACAGTTATTCTGTATTCATATTCTTCAACCCTTAAGCTACACAAACGGCAGCAGTGGGCATTCATCACAAGTAGTTAAGGCAGTGTGTTCAATATTGAAGAAATTTCATGCACACTCATGTACATACTTTACAGATAAAAAAGTACCTTTTCTCCTTTAGGACCAGCCACACCAGGACTACCAGAGTCACCTTTTAGTCCCTGGACAAAGAAGAGAAATACATATTTGTTGTCAGCTGTGGAAAGCGTTGGACAAAATCTTGTAGTGCTGTGAATTAGTAGATACTAACTGGCTAAGCCTTAAAATATTATCACATTATTAGTACTACTATCTCATAATTCTTCATTTTCATTATTTTTTTAATAGAGAAACATCTATTGAAGACCACAAGTGTCTTCAACACATAGCTAAACATAGAAAGCCTACCTATGTACTTGATTGTGCCCTATTATGGCAAGTAGTGTGTAGAAATGTAACGTTCCTTTGCAGTCCCAGCAGGTCTATACCTTAGGTGCTCAACAAAGGTAAAACAAAATACTAGAGAAAGTAGTAGTATATTCACTTAACCCATGCTAACATTGGGAAAGAGACAGAGGTGGACAGAGACCTGGGGATTCTGTGTTTCAAGTAGCAATGCTGAGCTGGTGAGCTGCAGCAGGGTACAGCTCAGAGCTGCTACACATCCTCCAGCACTCTGATCTTCACCGGTGTTTGAAAAGCAATTAGAGAAATGATTGAGTCCTTCATACCTCCCTCCTTAGTTCCGCCTTCAGCTGGAGAAGCAGATAATACCACCTAGTCTTACAAATTACATATGGAGCAATTTCACAATCACAGAATCATAGATTGGTTTGGGTTGGAAGGGACCTGGTCACCTGGTCCAATCCTCCTGCAATGAGCAGGGGCATCTTCAACTAGATCAGGTTCCTTCAAGCCCCATCCAACCTGGCCTTGAATGTTTCCAGGGATGGGGCATCCATAACTTCTCTGGGCAACCTGCTGCAATGTTTCACCACCCTCACCATAAAAAAATTCTTCTTTATATGGAACCTGAATCTACCATCTACAATATCTACAATGCACTTGTTTTCCACTAATCTGTCTCACCAGAAGCACCCCCCCAAAAAAAAAATCTTTAGCACTCAGCACATAATCTTTGTTGTTTTCTCCTTGCTGTAAAATACATGGGAAAGTGACAGGTTTTGAAATATTCCTGAAAATTCAAACCATTGTGCACTAAGCAACGAACCTAATCTGATGCTGGACCAACCTAACAGGAACTCCTTTTTGGTTAGTCCAAGAGATTTGACTTGTGCCTTCCCTGTGATCGCTGCTTTAGAGACATTCAACAGGAGAGCACGTAAGTGTACTTACAGTACACTGTAAGTCAGAGACAGTTCCACAGGTTCAAAGATTTTGCTTAGAAACCATATGGCAGTGACATAGGCAATACGGGATCCGATCATGAGATATTCCACAAGCAGGTGGCCAACATTACTATTGTGGGGGTTAAACAGGGCGTGGGCAGAGAAGATTTATCTACATCTGAATTAGGGTTCACTAACTTAAGTTCTTCCCAGCCCTCTTTTTGCCCTTGCAAACTCTCTTCCTCAGTTTGCAATAATTGGAAAGATGGAGACAACTGGCACGCAAATTATAAGCAACATCTGTGCCTTGGTGGGTACAGAAACATTAAATCAGTGAGTGTTCTAAATACTGCATATTTGTGCAACTTCACTTCCTGCTAAAATTACATTAATTCACCATCTGGAAGGAACATCATTTAGAACTACATGAGCGTTTAAGTACCCACTTTGGATTAAATTTGTGGTTGTTGTAAATACCCCTGATTTAGCTTTGATTTGTCCTTTATTAAGCTTGCCAAATATGCAATAGTTGAATCAGAAGTAGTTTTGCTGTTTGAACTTAAAAAATGTAATATGCAGATGGATTCATAAACCAAGCCAAAAAATTGCTTTCTTTTTACAATCTGCATATTTATGACATAGTTTTAATATTGTCTCCATTTACTACGTCTTACTTTTCACCTCCTTCTGAAAGACTCCATCAAATACAACCACTCCATATTCTAAAAAGCCATTTTAGGGTTTTTATCAGGTATGCAAACAGTATGGGTCTGGTTCAAAAATCAGTATTAGCAAATCAGCAATAGGTTTGAGTTTAATAAGTAGGCCTCAGGCTGTATATTTACAGAAAAGAAAAGGTAAAAAAATCTGCAACTCACAGAAAGTGATGTATCTGTGTGCGTCTCTACCGAACAGAGAGGACAACTGCAGGGGAAAGATACTGAACCCAAGCCATGCACCGTCAAACTGTGAACCTCATTTTTAACTAGCTGGTGTGTCTAAAGCTTTAAAGGCTTTAAAGGGTTCCTCCAGTGATGTATGCAGTTTGACATCTGCTGCAGAGGCGACGACCAAACAGGTCAACCTTGCCCAAAAAGGACAAGGGGAAACTACATATTTGGCAACAAGCCTTGCAGTGTTTGAAGTAGGATTTCTGAGTACCCAGGAAATTTTCATAGATAATGCATTTACTTTAAAATACTCAAATTAGCTTTCTTTTGTAGTTTATAACCCCAAGAAAGAAAAGTAATATCGGAAAAAAAATGCTTAAAAGGTTACCCCATTAAGAAGCATTTCTTGTTCTTCTACATATTATACATCTTTAAAAAAATACTATCATCTTTATAAGTACCAGACCCTAAATGCTTGCAAAAACACATCTGGTACTGTACCAGGCCTATTGTTCCCCACAGCCACCCTTTTAGAGCTGCTGAGAGGTTTAGCTGCTGCTGACTGCTTCTGAAATGACGCAAGTTGTAAGAATTCATGTGCTAAGTCAAATCTGTAGCCCCTTTTAGAGCAGTACAGTACAGTATCCTGTCTCTGGCAGAGACCAGAACAGGATGCTTCAGTAAAATGGATGTGGTTATCTAAATAGATATAATTTGGATGATTTTTGATATAGCTTTAAATTAGAAAAGCCCGTTTTCTGCAATATTTTAGGAGAATGAGGCCAGTTTTGAAAACAGCAAACTAATTTCTATTGATCTAAGGAGCCTGTTATCAGATTTGCTGGGAATTCAGGAACCAAATAAAGAAATCCAGCAGTTCTCATAACAGAGAGTAAATGAATTATTGAATACTATCCTGACATAATTCTAGCTTTTTTGGGAGCAATACAATAATACACATTTGCGAGTTCATGAAAAGTCTTCAGCTGGTACTATTTCTCCTCTGTAAGGACCAGAGCTTGGTCTTTTTACAGGTCAGAATAAACTTACATTAAAGTTCCTCTATCGATGCCGAAATGTAAAGTCAGTGTTAGGATACACATGTGTAAGGCCAACTCAAGGCTAACAAGATAACATGAGAAATGGCAGAAATGAGAAATGTTATATATATAAACAAGACAGGTGTTACTGTAACACAAATGCTGACCAACAGAGAAATTACTGTAACAAATATACCACAAATGCCAGTGTAAAGTCAGCAAAACTGGGGCCAATGGGGGAAAGATTAAACTAGAGGTGGGCTTTTTATTTGGAAGGGAACGACAATGCTATTCTTCTGGTGGAAGGAATTTAAACAAGTTACCATATTGTTTCACACTATTTTTGACAAATATTTAACCAGACTTTTCTGATATATTAGTTGACTGATATCTTAGCCAGCCTACAAAACTAACCAGATTAGGAAAAAAACCCCAAACATTTAATAAACAGTAACTGTGCTCTAAAAAAAGCTCTAAAAAGGACCATGCTTTCACATACTCTTCAAAGATGGGATTAATGATGTCCTAACACTACTAGTATAGAAGGCGACAGTTTTTCTATTTGAATTTTCCTTTTAAACCAGTGACAATCTCATACAAGGTTTGCTGTGCTCCAGAGTTTCACAGTGAGGGGAAAAATAGCTTTACTTAGTGATGTGATAAATATGTTCCTTACTAAGTTTGAGAACATTTTATTCACTCAAAAGAAGTACCAGGTATAACCAGAACGAGAAAATGAAACAGTTTTTAACTTCCTATGCTTTCGGTGATTTGGATAAGATCAGAGCAGTCAAAGATTTTGAGAGAAAAGAGAACCAAACAACATTTTCCCCTAGGCCAACTCTTTTGGGCCAACGTGATGATGTGCAAATTGGTACTACTACCATCACTAGCAACAAGGACAGAAGATGAAGAGAACAGAGGATTCACAGCTTGCTGCTTGTGCTGAGGAATGACACCCCACATGCCTGCAATGCCTCAGGAACTGTACTACCTCTCCCTAGTCCCTAGGAATACCATCCAACCTGCCCACCAAATGACAGCAACAACTCCAACTAAGGGCACACCTTCTGTGGGTACCCCCATACGAGTCTGGTTCTATAAATTAGATTTTCTTGCAGACTTGTCTGTTGCTTTCAACCTTGACACTGTGATGCTCGGTTTGCTTTAAAAGCCACATAAGGCATTTGTAAGGGTTTAATGAGCAGACACCTCTCTGGCTGAGACTGCCTAGCTGGCAACCCCCGTGATGGAAACGCTGCAGCCCCAACAAAGGGATCTGAATGACAGGCCAGGGGAGTCTGGGGAAAACTTGCAGCAGCAGCCTCACAATGAGCCAACCTGGGAGCAAACACAGAAGCCTCAAGGAAGCCAGGGTAAGGAGAGGAAGCTTACTGGGAAACTCTTACAGAGCTGCCAGAGCTTCTAAGGCCTATGCTGCCTGGCAGCAGACAACGGGACAGACTGGTTTCCATATGGACTGGAGACCATTGAGGGCCAGGACTCTGTTGAACAGCTCACTGAAGACAAACTGCTGCGATGGAGAGTATCAGCCACGACGCAAACCTCACTGGTAGTGTTCAGAAGACAAGGCCCATGGCCTTTTCTCAGCTGCCATCAGCTCCTTCAGTTCCTCACTCACCCGCAGCAAAGTGCATTCACCTCTCACCCCGAGGCAAAATGTTTACCATAATAACAGACACAAATTTGATCAGAGAAGTCTGAAAAAGAGTACCAAAATAACTGAATTGCTAGCTTTGCATGAAGTTATCAATAAGAAAACTCTTTCTAGAGTTCAGGAATGTTAGGAAAATTGTTATGTTAAGTGTTCCTTCCAAGTAAAACATGCTATTTGTGCCCTAATGCTTTACTTGATGAGTTCTGACTTAACATGCCCTAGCAGGTTCACTGAGGCTTGAGAAAACTGTATCATATACTGAAAAGTTTCTCAGAGAGAGAGAAGCAGTCAGAGCTCATACATCATCGCAGAAAACAGATGAAACAGGTAAAATACCCTGGAAACTAATGACAGGTACTCTTCCCAATGGAGAAATGCAAAGATCAGCTGGACCTCAACCAGAGGACTCGCTCCTGCGGTGGCCAAGTGTCACCCAATGGGAATGCACCTATTTGGGCAACACAAAATGTGCTCCAGGCACGTGGCAGTGGAAAATGCTGTAAGATCAGCATAACCTTTTGAGGAGAACAATTTTTTCACTCTAAAAGATACCTGTTTGGAAAAACACCATTCAGTAGTTACAGTTACCTGGCCTGCATGAGAGTAATCTGGTTCAATCTCACATCAGACTAAAATCTCCCAGAACAGCGCATATTATCTAAAGTACTGGAAATACAGAAATCAATCCAACACACTAACCAACAATGTGCAAGCAAATTATTATATATCAAATCATCAATCTCTGCTGAGTAATAAAGGTTGGAAATACATTAATGAGTAAGAAAACAGAACTACACTTCCTCTGCAGAACAGCCTTAAAATCTAAACTAAAACAATATTTTCAGAGTCAGCTGTACAACACCAAGCTGTATACATTGGGATAACTTTTCTAATTCAGCAAGTATTTTCAAAGCTCCAAACAATATACTATTTTTCAGTTTATGTCTCATGTACCTTTAAATATTGCCATTGCTCATTTCTTGTTAATGCCATTCAAAATCATCAAATTGCTACACTACTAGAAGTTTCTGGATCCTGAGCAACACCTACTGTCTCCTTATACTTTTGGTCTTAACAGAATCCTCAAACTCTCTATATAATGAAATATCACAACCAACTTCATACTTTCAAGCAATAAAATTCTTCCCTCCCTATCTAAATATTTTCTCATGACGTTAATACTAAAAGAGTTCAAGATTAGGGAGAGATGCCACGAGGGTGTGAAGGTGAATGACTTACTATCCTAGCCAAAGTCACTGGATCCCTTTAAAAATGTTCATATTTCTGTCCACATTTTTCCCACAAGTATCAAAATAAAAAGGTCCAATACGTTTTCCACCTTTCCATTGAAAACCTGGAATTTTTTTCATTGCTCACTGAGCTTCAGAAATCCATTCTTTGACACCAGGTACATAAAGAATAACAAAATTTAATGTAGGAAAATTTTATAGAAGTCACTTAGGGTATCACCTTTCCCAGCAGAATAAAAAAAAAAAAAGTGAATCACTTGGTTTGATGTTGGAGAGATTATATACTATGTTTTCACATATTTTTTACACCTTTTCTTTTTTTTGCAATTTACAAGAAAGATCCTATTCTTCCCCTAGCTATGATAAAACTTCCAGTTTTCACTTACTTTTGCAGAAGGATTTAATTTATATTAGCAAAACATTAATTGGTAGTATTCTATGGTATTCACTTCCTACCCGCACCACTGATCAAGAAAATAACAACTCCAAAAAGAGTCTAAAAATTTGAAATGTAAAGATTTTCTCCGCATTTCAGTTCAACTGACAAGTGTATGAATATAACATAGATCTTATTCCACAGATAATTTCATGGATATTTGTATTGCAAATTTGTCCTTATTCCATACGGGATATGAGCGTGATGGAGAAGAAACTGTATTTGCCAGGATTTCTTTCAGACAGTGTGCCTATGAAGCTCCACTTGTTACACTGATACAAATGACAGCACTATTAGTGTTGAGTGGCTAAAAAAGGCTCAAGGGGCAAAACTGAGATGCTATTCAAGCAAACTGGCTGTTCATATTATACAGGCACATACCTGCTTACAGATGTAATGTGAACACATGCCACAGAAGGAATACATTAGTAATATACTTAGTTATTTATAAATACTCCTTAAGAAGCTAAAAACAATGGCAAACACATTACTAGTAGTTATAGGAAGCCTTCATGTTGTCAGATGGATTTTGAATAATGTCCCAGCCTGGGACATGGCATTGTACATCTTGGCTCAGATTCCTGGATTGATAACCTAGGAGACATGCAGCGCAGTCAAATATGCTCACATTTCCTGCACCCAAACCTGGTTCTCAATGAGCTTAACTGACCCAGTTAGTGCAACCAGGGAGGGAGGAGGCAATTACACTTTTTAGGTATCTCTTCATCGTTACAGAAAGCCTTGTCTCCAAACCAGGTCTGGCGTCTCCTCTGTCATTCTAGCAATAACCTTTTGTACAGCTAAGAAAACACAAGAAGTAACAGCAAGCAAAACTGTTCTGTGACAACTACTTTCTTGATTTTGATTAAAATAAATTCAAATATATTTCTACCATTTGTGCAAGATGAAATATTCATTCATCATTTTCAAATTCTTCACTTGTGAAGACGGAAACCCTCACTTCCCCAGGCAGAGAAAACAGCTGCCAGCAGCTGATACTGCTAGCTTTAAGTGTTTTTGGGCTTTCTTTGTACAGCACTGCAGATTACACCCATGTAAGCAGATTAACTTGATTATTTCAGAAATATCAGATGTTACATTTCCGTATGTGGAATGAGTTTAAGAGACACTGATAGCAACTAAGAGTCAATGATACACAGCCCTTTAAATTTAAACTTAATGACTGGCATGTCTATGCACAGTGATAGCTGAATTTGAAGCATTTTATATGTGTTGTTAAAAAGGAATTATGTGTGGATTCAACCAATATAACGTTATATTGCCTTGTGCAATTTTACTTCTAAAATGTTTTAATGACAGTTCCCATGATAACAATCTACCATTCTTGACACATTACAACAGTTCAGTAAATATTTCAAAATTAAAGGTTTGGTATTTTACACTTTCACAGTGCCACTATGTCAAATATGTTCTAGAGTTCACCAGATACTCGGTATACCTTACTCTTCCTAAAAGGTTTATGGAACAAGATCCCATGTAGTAAAGGGGATCGTGTAAGACCAACACAGAAATGTCCCCAGAGCTATGGAAAGAAACACAGATGTGTTTTTTCCATCCTGTCAGCATATATGTATGCATGACAGAAGGATATGGTTCACCTTTACAGACAGGCAGGCTACAAGAGGATACCTAAATGTAGTTTCAGCTCCGTACACAGTATATGTTTTCATATGGAGGACACCCACTACTAGTCAAAAATAGCCTGATTTATCTAGTTTTAAATTATAATAACCTAAAATAGGAAAAATATTTTTATGGTTTCAGTATGCATAGGAGGCCAGATGACATAAGAAGTGTTGTAATTATATACTATATTTTACTGCATTTTCAGTAGGCCCAGCTAGACCGTCATAGCATTTTTGTACCAAACACACACCCTTTTACTCTTTTGGTAAAGTTGCTTGAAAGAGCTTTGCTGAGTGTTTTTTCCAACTCCTGTGTCTGGATTCCAGGTCCTAATGACAGTCATTCCCCAAAGAATTTGGACAGTCAGGCTTACGTGCCTCTGTGAGACGTTCTCTGCCTTCAACTGCAATGCTTGCAATTGGAAAACCAACAGTATCCTGCACTGAAACCTAAACAAAGGTAGACCACCAACTAGGTCAAGGAGGAGACATGAGGGGAAGAGGGGAGATAAAGGAAACCGCTGGCTTGATTTTATTTTTTTTTAATTTTCTTAAATCTTGCTGTTCAAATCGTGTTGGTTGGCCATTTTAGTATTGCATTGAAAAAAAATCTGATTTTCTGCCCTCTCATCTTGGTTTAATGCATTACAAAAATAAATTTAAATTTAAAAATAAATTAGGCAACAGTAAGGTTTATCACTGGGCATGTCTATCATGCTAGCTCAGCTTCAAGCTTGAATGTGAACTCAGTCCTCAACCAGGATTATCCAGTGTTTTTAGATGCAGATTCATGTTCTACCTCAAATATGGACCAGACCAATCAACTAAGTAGGTAGCGAAATCTGGCAGAGAAAAAAAGTGAAATTTTAACTCATATTCTTTACCACATGAGACTCGTGACACAGTGAGTGACCCATGGCTCTCACCCATATTAAAAAAATAAATTTAAATTTAAAAATAAATTGGGCAACAGTAAGGTTTATTACTGGGCATATCTATCATGCTAGCTCAGCTTCAAGCTTGAATGTGAACTCAGTCCTCAAACAGGATTATCCAGTGTTTTTAGATGCAGACTCATGTTCTACCTCAAATATGGACCAGACCAATCAACTAAGTAGGTAGCGAAATCTGGCAGAGAAAAAAAGTGAAATTTTAACTCCTGTTCTTTACCACATGAGACTCGTGACACAGTGAGTGACCCATGGCTCTCACCCAGGCATGGCTAACAGCCTGGCTCCAAGCCTAGCTTTACCCTGCCTCCAGAAATGCCCTCTTTTCCAGCAGATTATCCACCCAGGAATGTTTCTCATCCATATTGTGTTGCTTTAATCCCCATGTTTGTTTCAGTTTATCTCATGAGCCCTTAGCAGAAATATCATAAAACTACCACATCCTTACCCACAGCTCTCCTGTCCAACCTGAAGCCCTAAGAACTCATCTCTCACCTGAATGCATCTCTTTTTCTTGCCCCATCATCTTGTTGATGTTAACTCTCCAGGCATATGCATTTTCTAAATCCATCACTCTCCTTAAATTCTGAATTTCATTGCTTAACCAATCCCCGCAAAGGTTTGTAACTGTTCCATTACCATTCAGCTTACCTCTCTTCCGCGAATGCCTTCTGGTCCTGGTTCTCCTTTATCTCCTTTTTCACCCTAAAAGAATGAACATTTATTTTATGATATATACAAGACAGATACTAACCCATGACACTTTTTAATAGGAAAAATATTTTAAGATTCTGGTCTGCTCTACATGAAGTGTTACATATATGTTGCTGGCTGCACAAGCAAAATAATTTCTTGCGCTCCAACAGAAATTCTTTACAAAGAAATGCCTCTGAAAAATGTCTAGCACTCTGAGAGTTACAGCTCTCTGTACTTCACAGTGCCACTGGACATCCATAAAGACTCACCACGGAAAAATATTCTTGGTTCACACAGTGCTCTGAGAGCATGGTGGTGAAACAAAATTTTACACTGGGGAACAGTTTTCCTTTTGAAAATATTAACATTGACATTACATTAATTGCTTTCATTCTGAGACTGTTTTTAAAGAAACAACTCTTATTTTAAATATCTCATAGCAGAGCTGTTCTCAGTATTATTATTTTTCTTTAACTCATACTGGTATATGGTTCACTGATTGCATTTGAAAAATGAAAACAATTTTTGTTTTGAAAATTTTCTCACAAGTATGAATATGAACAATATTATTAACCAAAAGAAAAAAATGGTGGGAAGGATTCTTCAGAATCGACTACACAGGCTGGTTCCTGTGTTTGCTCATGAAACACTGACTACAAAACACAGTATTCTTTGTAGGGTACATGATCGGATTCAGTTCTGTATTATCTCTAACTATCATGCTATTCTAGTTAACACATACTTCATCAACTGACTGAACTTTGTCAAATCATAAAAGTAACATAATTCTCATGAAAGCCTGAGGACTGATACTAGAGTCCAAGCTCTTCATATCAACCAAAGAAAGGGAACAGCCCTGCACTGAATTTCAGTTATCTCCAGGGGACTGTATTTGTCTGAGCAGAACCTATTCATTATGTCAGCAACATCTTCATAATTCCGTTAGGCAAATGGTATTGACCTGAGATCATTCAGCAAACTCCATTTGTAACACAGCCCTGATTCAGAGCCATTCCTCCAGTGGCAACGACAGAGGGCATTTCATCTAATCATCGGCTTTGCAAAATGAGTTTGTATGAGCTTACTCAAACAACTGAAGCCTACCAACAAGTTAGCAACAGCAAACTGAATTTAATAATCCCATGCACAAGATGGCTTTGCTAGTTCATTGTTTCTATTTTAATACATCTTGTTGATAACAAACCTAATGCTACGCATTAGCCTGCATCACAGCGTTAATGTTTTCCTTCAAGTATTGCCTTCCTTACTTGTAAAAAACCCTAAAAATTAAACCAGTAAATCTATGCATTTGTTGCAAAAGTTTAGATGACACCAAACAATTATAGGAATTTAACACTTGTTAGTTTAGTAGGGTTAATCTATAAAGTTATTTTTGTTCTACGGATTAAGACATTGGTTGAGACAGTAATTTTGTCAGTTTAAAAAAAATAACAGTTGAAGTCCCAAACTTACTATTCTTCTTTAAATAGCTCACTTAAAACTTTTAGAAGAAACTGCAAAAATTACATTTTACTTTTCATCACTGTCACACACTGGACATTTAATACCGCTTTCAGGATCTTTCAACTAGTATCAGTTACACTGCTACAACCTTGCAATAGCTATAAAAGTACGGTCATGTATTTCACATTGTATCTCTTTATCTGAAGATATATCTAGGAAATTTAAAAATCATTGCAATTTATGGAGCTGTTTTTTCTTCTATGATTTCTTTATCTGCTTTCATAATCTAAGAGAAAATTATATAAATATGTACAGATTTGCTTCAGAAGTAGTAGTATTCTGTAGATTCTTTGATGTATATGTGGAAACCTAAGGTAAAGGCATCTTGTCATAATTTGTTGTGCAACATCTACATTTACATAAAAACCTAAACAGAGAGCCTAAACCAAAAGATGACCCTCCCCTCACCCTTGTTCATCATTTGCCTTGATGTTAGATGAGCAGCACGTGCTGGAGACCATGCCTTTTTCTTCTACAGTAGGCAGATGGTAACTTCAAAACACTGGCAGGCAGTTCTAGGCACATACAAGTGTGGTTGGTGAATGCAGGGGAGAGAGAAAAGCTGCCTTCCTTATGATTTACAAGATATTTAGATTTAAGATGATTATCAGTTTCTTAGACAAAATGAAGAAAAGCACCTCCAATTAATGAGCCTGGACCTCTGTAGAGTCCCAAGAGCCAGGGGCTTTTTGCCAGGTATGTGATTTTACTATTAACCTATTCTGATTTTTTAATAGAGTTAATGATTTGTCCTCGCCAAACCTGTCATATGAAACATCCATGTCCCCTGTGAAGCCAGAATTCATATCAAACAGAGGTCCAATTTTTACAATTTATTCTCATGAGAACTAAGCCAAGTCACGCTCATTTCTGCCTTTATGGAGCACACTATACTGCATAATTAACAGCCTCAAATCTAGCCAATTCGCAGAATGCTGAAGTCACTCTGCCATGTAGAGGAGGCTGTTAATAATCAACATTGCGGCTTGCCTCATAGATTAACAGAAATGAGAGAGAAATGTGTTAATGCCATTTTATATCTAATGTTCCTGCCTGCTTATACTATACTCAGATGAGACAATTAAAGACTACTTATTCTAAAAACAGGATGACAACACTCTGGAAGAACCATGCCTTTTTCATTAGGTAACTAAAACTAATCCAATGTAACACTGCATTGTTTCTCTTTCTTTGGGTGCATTCTGCTTTCAATGACCCCAATGGAACAAGCTGATGGGGCTGCTCCCGTGTAAGCGCTGGAGGGATTCGGTGTGTGGTGTGTCAGAGCAGGCACACCGAACTCAGGGGGGACATTCCTTAATTACAGCCAGGGGCTCACATGTGGCAGCTGCACGACCGGAGTACCAGCCTTCAACTCCCTTGTCAGCTTCAAGGCTGCCTCCTTTTCCTTGCATACTATTTCCTCCTGATTACGGCAGTAAAGTTTGGAAATAAAATATACTCGTACCTACAAGTTTACCTAAAAAGGTAAAGTTTCTTTTGCGGCACCGCCCTGTTAATGATACTAATCAGGAATTCCTGATATCCTTATCAACGTTTTCAAGTACTATTGTTAACAATAGCTGAAATACTCTCCAAAGTACGTAAGCTATACAGTATCACTAACAGTGTGGATAACTTAAAATTTTGAAACTCTGAAACTCTGTGATGTCACTTTCCACATCTTTAAGATAGTATGCAAGGAAACAGAAGAGTGACACAAGAAACTCACTTCCAAACAGGCTGTAACCCTACACCCCATAAGACCAGTACCTAACCAAAGTGAGAAAGAGACAGCATAAAACATTGCAGAAATACACTACTATTTCTAGTAAACTACAATCAACAGTGAGAAAAATCTTTCCTTCCTGCTTTACTTACACAGACTGAACAATACTGAAGATGTTCATACCAGCTAAGTACTGCTGAGTGTCATGCATCACATTTCTAAGTAAGCTCTAAACATTCCTAGGCCAGGGAGGCAAACTCCCACCTCAAGTGAATCCAAAATCTCGGGCACAGAATGATCTGAAGCCAGGCCAACCCCTGGCTCCAAAACTGTCAGCAGGAATGAGGCAGCCATCCGTTTTTATTCTTTGTAGAAAAACCTTAAAATGCAAAATGACTTTGATCAATCAGAACAGTGATCAAAAAAAAGTCCAGTCCAATAAATGTTACAGCGTAGTGCTCTCCAAACAGAGAAATCAAATGCACAAATAGCAAGTAAAGAATAATCCCTACAGCACCACTGCAGAAAAGGATCTGGGGATTATAATGGATCACATAGTGAGCAGGATTGCAACATAAAGCTATTTTTAGAAGGTTAAACTCCATTCGCCATTTTCCAAATGCAACAGAAATACAAAACTTCATCCTTTTGGGTGATAGATGTTAGACAGCAAACAAAGAAAAAATACAGAGATTTTACATAACTTCTGCTTGCTACAATATAACACTTAGCTTAGTTATTAAATAATAAATGTACCTAATGAAAGTTCTCATGCTTAAGATGCTCACATTGGCTGTTTTTTCCACATGAAATTTAGATGGTGTGGTTTGCAAACTTTACTCTGTCTGCTCTCCTGCCCTGCCATGGCTCATCCTGCCATCATCATTTCACTTTTTTTTTCTTCAAACTTTTCAGTGTCAAGGAGGAAAAGCAAAATCAGCATCCAAAAATTCACTCTTTTTGATAATAGTTTGTTCATGTATTCCCATACTTAACTTCTTTATTCAAGATTAAAGTTTTATTCATAAAAACAAGGAAAATAATGCAAAGTAAATCATGAGTTATCTAAAAGCAGAGTTTCAGTCTCCTAGATAATATATAATTTTAACATCCACTTGAATATAATTAACACTCTCTTCAGAGAAAGTACAATCAGTCAGGCAAAATGTGTTTATAAAGAAAAGTCACTGAGATTTTTCTGGTGTTCTTCATTTGCAAATGCTACTTGGTATTTACGTGCGGAGGCCTTAGTGGATGTAAATAACTTTCTTAAATAGCTCAAAGCTTCCCCAAAAAATCAATATGATGTTTATTTCAAGAATTTGCATACATGGAAAGAAATTATAGTATATATGCTAAAGACTCTAAAAACTCCATTGTGACTGTTCTTTACTCACTGCATCTGGCTGAATTCTACAATACATTCTATTACTTCAATTTAAAAATTGGTGTATTGCTCATCATTTATGGTGCTATATCTTTCCTCATAATCCAAAAGCAAGAGGCTTTCCAAACTACAAAGACTCATTAATTCAGTCAGACAACTCACACCTGCACCTTTCAATGAAAAGGCTATACAGGGTACATTCATGGTCCAGTTTTCTTCTCTTGATACAGTGTCTCTGGCTAACCTCATCTGCAAATATAAAAATCAACTGTCATCTCTATGAGTTGTCATTTACACTTCTACTCCAGACATGCCTCCTGTCCAAGAGAACATCTTAACTTTCCAGTACCTTCTTGTTGATATCTAACC